GTCTCCTTTTCCCCCTTTATTCCCTACTGTCTTGGTCTGCTAGACAGCCAGCCTGCTTCATACCCCCAATAAATCTTCTACTTGCATCAGAATGCCTGGTCTGGTTGATTGCGTGGGTTCATACCTAAAAAATTGCTTATAAAATACATATTAGGTGATCAATAACGTGAAATTTTGTTTTCGCTAATCTTATAAATATTCTGTAGCAAATTTATTTTTATCTTCTTGTTGCTTCTCAGACACAGTTCATACTCTCCAGTCACAAGGAGAGTTGAGAATTTCTATTTTGTGCAACGTCGATTTCCAGCTTCAATCCTTAGGGGTGAAAACCCATACCCTCCTCACTACTTCCAGTAGCCAGAAATAGGCTTAGAAGTCTTGGCTTCAGGAAAGGGGAATCTGTGCTTCTTTCTTTCATTTTATACCCTCTTTTTTTTTCTGTTTCTAGTCCATAGAGTGAAGAGGTAGAAGGAAAAGGGGAAAGTAACTTCAAACTAAATTTGGTCTGCATGTAGCCCCCACTTGGTGGAACTGTCCTTCCAGAACTGAGGGTGGACATCAAGCCAGAATTGAGGACAGTACTGTGCAGCCATTTCGGTAGCAGCATCCACCCTCTAGTTCCATAAGGTCTTTGACTGGTCTGACTTTTTTTTTTTCCTCCTCCTCCCCAACTTGTGTGTGATGTCACACATACTGTAGGAGTACTACCATTAATGGGGAGCCTGCAGGATGGGCCAAGTATTGCCTTCTTTCTTTTCTAGGCCACAGGAGATTCGTGTACCTTTGGCATCTGAATCATTGGGAGTGTATCTTTTGCCCACTGACAATGTACTCTCCTTCTACAATGCTCTCCAATATTCCCTTTTGTCTGCTTAAAATGAGTACAGGTGTAGTATTCTGTAAGGAGGCTCCCTTAAGGACTGAACATGGAGTCACACATAAGGCACTACCCTGTGGCCAATTTTACACCAGATGCAACAGCCTGTGTTGCTTTGCCTGATGAGATTTTAGTTAGAAGTGTAAAGGGAATTAGCTAGCAGAGGGACTCTGCTATCTAGGGTCTGCACAGTAGGCAGGCTTCCCACCAAGCAGATAAACACACCACACAACACACATAGAAAATAGCTAAAGAAGAAAGAGCTACTCTTTCCAACAGAACTACAGAAAACTTCCAAGTTCCAGAAATAACAAAATATATTAACAGCAATGGAGCACAAGGATTTTTCTGAGATTAGACAGATCTAAGGTTTCAAATACAAAGTATCTATCAGAGCACAGAGGAGGTATAGAAAACTAATCTTAAAATAATTCCAAGAACAAGAGCCAAAGGTGTGTTGCTTAAGCAGAGTTTATTTTCTCCCTGTAATTACACTTGTTCCTGAAAGTTTAGAGAGAAAGGATTTAACATTGTGAGAGACTTTTTGACAGAATTCAAAGTCTAGTTATAATTAATATTATAATTCAAGTAGTCTACAGTCCTGATACAGAAAGCATAATTGTAGCTGTGGGATCATTTGCCTACATCTGCCTGAATTTGGGCAACATCCCAGGGCCAGAAGCAGAAAGCAGAATGATAAATACTCAGAAGTTCTCTAAAATTACAAGCCAGAGCACACACGTGTGAGATCCTGCTGTTGGAAGTACAGTAGGTTACATTTTCCTCACCGGAAGTTCATGAAAGAGTCCTAAGCAGTGACTGCAGGTCATGCATGTCATCAAAACAGAGTGCAATGAGAGAGAAGCGAGCCCACTGCCAGCCCCTGCAACCCGCCAGCACCCTGTCCAGGGTTTTGGGTAGTCACCTCCAGAGAGATGCAGTGAGAGGCACCAGGTGGGGTCCTCAGCTTCTAAATCCCAACCCCTGATTCTCTCCTCCTCTTATTCTCCCCCATCATGTGTTTACCTCTTCGTGTCACCTTCTTGCTGTTGCTGGTGCAAACCTGCACATGCAAAGCACAACTTCTCCATAATTTCCATAGACATGGCTATTTTACGTCAATATTTTTTTAAATCATCAGTTGTATTCTTGAAATCTTGTTTTTGCATAAACACCAATCTGGAACCAATCTCTCAGGCATGTTACTTTATAGTGAGAAAATCTGGGTTAAAAATGTAGTTTTACAAATCTTCTTGAAAAAAGTAATGTGATTATACCAGGAAAACATATATAAAATAGTATTGACATACTGTATACATGTGTATGTTTGGTTTTTCTATTAATTTTATTTGGAAAGAGTTTTTCTTACTAAAACCACTAGAACAAAAATAAATGATGGTATTCAAGCTAGAAACAAAAGAAATGAATAAATGCCTGTGCATCTAGGCTGCATTTAATTATGTGTAAACCATATAAAAAATAAAGTTTCTCAAAACAGTAAAACCTGAAATATTACAGTACAAGAAACAGTTCAAAACAATCATTGAATAATAGATGAAATCTTGTGCTAATAATAAATAATATTGATGTGACTAAATAAAGATGAAGGAAAATAGTAGGAGCTTTTTTGTATGCACTCCTTCCCCAAAGACAGGATGCTCTGGTTTTTAAAATTTAGTACCTGGATGACGTCTATATATAACATTGTTTCTCTTACATGATAAAGCCAATAATTTTAATAAAGAGCCAAATATAGATAGATAATAGGAAATAGGGAGGGGGTATTTTTTGAAAGGAAAGGGGGCCGGGGAAATAGCTCAGTAGAATAAGTACTTGCCTGGAAAGTGCAGAGTTCTGATTTCAATCCTCAGTACCAAAAAAAAAAAAAAAAAAAAAAAAAAAAAGGAAAGGAAAGGGAAAGAAGATGTGCTGGGAGGAAGGGAGGGAGCAGATGAGGCTAAAGCACAGAAGGAAGGTGTGGTATGTGCCTGAGTCAGCTTCTCAGGAGGAATGTGACCACCACGGACTGCAAACATGTCCCAGTAAACATAAAAATTAGTAAAATAGGAAAATAAATGGATAAATAGATCTAAGAGAGACTAATCTAGAATGGAACTCAGCAGCTCATTTGTCCTATTTATACAGCAAAGGGCCCCTAACCTGAGTATTAAGAATGATTCATTTCTAGTTACCTGATGTATGTAGTGTGTCATGAATTACATAATTCACCTGTTTTTGAGGTGTGGTATTGAAATGCATTTTTTCACCTAAGTTATTATCTTGGCATTATATAATTTATCTCACTATTGTTTCTCCCTATGAAAAATATTTAAATTTACATTTTCATCTATATCTTTGAAAAGTTCTATAAATGACAAGAACAGTTCAAAAGCTAGAAAATAAACTAATTCGGAGGTGTGGTTAAGCTGTAAGAATCATATGGTACCTAAATAGGTATATATTAAGTTGTAAAGTTTTAAACTTCATAAACTATTTTTAAAAGAGTGCAGAACTTATAACCAAAAAAACCTCACTGAACATGTGAATATTTTATTTGAGACATCAGTTTTCTCTTTTTTGTAAACAATGGAATTGATATTATTAATAAATACATTCCTTACTAATGAATCCTGACCTGACTTAGTTTTAGCTCTACCAATCTGACACCAGCACTGCAAACAGGCTCTTGGGCTCCTCTGAAGAGAGCTATCACCTGCTTTTTCTTTAATTTACATTAAGGGAATGCTACAATGGAGAAGATATGTATCCAGCAAGTAAATTTATCTAGACTAATAAAAGACAATAATCAGAATTTAAAATATTCTTCAGTAAGCTTTATATCTCTTTTCTGTTAAATATTCTCATGGGTATAATAAGGGAAGGGCTATTAATCTGATGTTTAAGAAACATTATACCATGACAATATATGTTCACCCATATTTATAGCAGCACAATTTATCACAGCTAAGTCTTGCAAACAACTCAAGTGCAGATCAGTTGAGGAATGGATAAAAAAGATGTGGTATTTTTATACAATGGAGTATATCTCAGCTATAAAGAAAGATAAACTTGAGTCTTTTATAGGCAAATGGATGAAACTACAGGCTTTACTCACAAGTGAAATCAATCAGACCCACATGTGTAAACATCACATTGTCTCCCTAGTGTAATAACCTGAAAGAGTAAATAAATATTGAAAGGTGCAATAGATATAGTAAAAGAGAAAGAAAGTGAGCAAAAGGAATAAATAATTGGGATGAGGAAAAGGAGAAAATAAAGGTAAAAAATGGAAAGGGAAATATATCTTGTATGTACATACAAAGACAGCTAAAATGATTGTACTACTAATTTCTATTAGGTTTTTGAATAGACCACTTAATGTTTAAAATTTTTACTTTGGCCAATTTTACATACTTATATCTGGTAATCTGAGTAGCTATACTGAAGACAGCAATGTGCAGTATAACAAGCACGATGGTTGTTACATTGTTGAATCCCTATCATATTTGTCTTTTGAAATTGTGTATCATTTCTAATGTCTGATCTATTATTTCTCTATTCTCTTTAAAATAAAAATTAAAAAATGAAAATAAAAAATAAAAATACAGAAGAATGAGAAGTGTAATTTAAAATATCTATAACTCCCTCACTCAAACATAGCTATTATTTAAATTGTGGCACTTTTTTTAGTATTTTGAAATGTATATGCTACATATACTGTTTCTGTAAAAATGTTTTCATTCTGTGAACATTTGTTTTGTAACCTCATTCAGTTACAAGACATATTTTCACATTAAATTAAATGGCATTCTAAAACCTGGTTAACAAAAACAACAAAAGACTCACAGAGATCTCAGTAACCCGAGATTAGAGAAATAAATGGAGGAGTTGGCCACAAGTGATATTGCTCTCATTAAATTTGGGATTTAATTTTATGTTTACCAAAAACACATTGCACTTGAGTGTAATCTGAGTTTGACTAGGATCGACAAGAAACCATATTAAATTATTTTACCTTAAGATTCAAAATATGGGTGACAATGTCTTTTCCCCATAGTTTGATTACTGTGAAACTCTTTTCAACTGACCCATCAAAAAACCAAAACAAAACAAACAAAAAAACCTATTGAAACAACTTCATTGCTGAGGAATTCTGTATGAAGACCTGTCCTGTAACAATTAATTTGATGGCTTTTCGAAACCAAGGATAAAAGAAAGCATAGATCAAGGGATTCAGCGCCGAGTTGTAATAAGCGATCCACACTAGTATTTCATACACATACGTGGGTGTGATGAATCCCAGGAAGGCATCAATGATGGAATCGATGTAGTAAGGCAACCATGAGATCAGAAAAGCTATCACTGCGACCCCCAGGGTCGTTGCTGCTTTCCTCTCCCTCCTGGCCACCCTGTCCTTGTAGCTGTCTGAGGATTTTGCAGTCCTATTACTCAGACTTTCAATTTTTCTAGCTTGCTGCTTGGCTATCAGGAAAATCTTGGTGTAAACTGTTATCATCACAAGTGCAGGGATGAAAAATAATAGAAAGCCAATCAAGACCCAGCTTTGATTCACTGCAATCTGACAGCCCCCCACACAGGAGAGGGCACTCACTAGGTCCTCCAGCCCAGCTTCATTCACTCCTGTGTAAAGAAGAGAAAAGCTGAAGATGACAGCAAACAGCCAGGAGAAAGCTATGCACTTGCCAGCCACAGAGACAGTGAACCGGGTGGGATAGACCAGCGGGTCCGTGACAGCGACGTATCTATCAATGGAGATAAAGCTCAAGTGGAAGATAGAGCAGTAACAGAAAGAGCCATCGAAAGAAGAGTGGAACTTACAGTAGCTGTCCCCAAAGTACCAGCAGCTCTCCACAGACCTGACCATGCTGAAGGGCATCACCATCGTCCCCATCAAGAAGTCAGAGCAGGCCAGAGAGGCGATCAGCAAGTTGGCTGGGGAGTGGAGCTGCTTGAAGTGGAGGATGGAAGTCATCACCAGCAGGTTTCCCAAGACAGCCAGCGCAGCGCCAGAGCCAAAGAGCAGGTAGAGCAGCAGGCGGGGGCCCGGGGAGTAGGGAGCTTTGACGCAGGATCCGTTCACATTTTCGTAGCAGAGCTGGACAGTGGCAGGAGGGGTCAGGTCACCACAGATATTTCTCTGGGCACTGGATGATGAAGTCATCTTGAGTGCTCAAGTGCCTAATTCTAATCTTCAAAAACGCTCAGAAAAGAAAAAAATATTGAATTATTGCACTTAAGTTAACTTTTTCCTTTTTGTTTACCTCATTCCAATTCTTACAAACTGATCAATATCTTTTGGTAAAATTATTCCCTTCATAATACACAGGTAACTGATTTTCATTATTGCATAAAATGCTGTTTATTTCTGTTTTAAAATTTCTCTTTCTTAACTATTCTTCTAAGCAACATATGTCTTCAGAAGGAATTCTCTTCTGATGCATGTGAGTGCCACCTTTATTAGGATTCTTTTCCCAATTACACAAAGCCGGGGTAATGTTCTCAACACTCTTTTCCCTCAGGAAATTAGCTTAATGATCCAAATATCTTATGCTGTTAAGGTGGAGCCCCATAGCAAGCTGAGGCAAATGAGACATTTTATATATCTATTGTGCTTATGGCAAAAACATATGTGTGCCTTTCTAGTTTGTGGTGCCATTTGGTCCTTTCAAAGAATTGCAACAGAATTAATACATGTCCAGACAATCCTCTGTTGAGAATTTTTTGTTCTGATTATTAAGCATCATCTTTTTCATGTTTGTGAGAAATACTTCTTAATCATTCTCATGCTGTCATTACAACTTCCTCAGATAAGCTCTTTTTTATTTCATTTCATTTCATTTCATTTTATTTTATTTTTTTTGTGTGTGTGTGTGTGTGTGTGTGTGTGTGTGTGTCCAGCTCAGCCCACCAGGGGGCGGGGCTGACTGGCATGTGGTGCTGGGGGATTGAACCTTGGTCCCTGTGCTTTGCTAAGCTTGTTCTAAGTAGGTGCTTTAGACCACTTAGCCATCTCACCAGCCCCTAAGCTCTTAATTTATTTTGTGATTGATATGTGTTTTTAAAATTTTATTTATTCAGTGTCTTTTGTGATATACAGTTGTTTCCCAAACATATGGAACCTTGATCCTTTTTATTTCCCTCGTCCTCTCTCCCTGTCTTCCCCTTTGCCTGATCCCCTTCCTATTCTTTCAGAGAACAAACTTTTAGACTCACTGATCCGTTTATTGTCTTCCTAGTATAAATTTCAGTAACTTTCATTTAGATCTTTCTGATTTCTTTTCTTGCATTAATTTCTGATTTGTACTTTTCTTGTCTTTCTGGGATCTTATGATGATCATGAATGTATTTATTTTAGGGCCCTCTCTTTATGTGTGCTTTTACATCTCTAACCTTCCCTCTGAGAACTGCTTTCATTATGTACCATGGGCATTGATATGTCATGTTTCTACTGTCATTTGAGCCTGGAGACTTTTTATTTCATTTTGAGTTCTCCTGTGACCCACTGACTTTTCAATGATATAGTATTTAATATCCACATGTGTGGTGCATATTTTCTGTGGCTTCTTTTGCTTTATAGTTTTAGCTTCATTCCACTGTGATCCAATCAATGAATGTGATTATTTCAATTCTTTTGCACCTATTTAAGCATGCTCCATGGGGGAAGATATGATCTATTTGGAAAAAGTTTCCATACATTGTTGATTAAATTTGTATTCTGTTCTTATTAGATAAAATACTCTACAGACATCTGCTAAGTCTTTGTTCAGTGGTGTGGTTTAACTCTGATGTTTCTTGTTGACATTTTTTTCTGGTTGACTTAATTGAGGGTAGTATTTAGGGCACTGGATATCAGTATTTAATCTGTTCTATTAAGTCTGAAAATTCTGGTTTTATGAAATTAGGTGCAATGACATAGAGAGAATAGATATTTATAATTGCTATCTCTTCCTACTTAATTGTTGCCTTTACCACTTATAAAGTGGTAATATTTGTCTATTCTGATCAGTTTTAGCTTGAAGTTTTCTGTTTCTGAAATAAAATGGCTAGTTATGTTTGCTCTGGGGCTCTATCTCAATAGAGTATCATTTCCCAGGCTTTTATTTTTAGTCTATCTAGTTCTCATGGGGTATTCTCTGGTAAGTAATACTTGTTGATTTTGTTTTAATCCAGTCTGCCAGCCTGTATCTTTTAATTGGTGCATCGAGACAGTTGATGCTAAGAATTATTATTGGAAGTTGTATTTTGAATTCTATCATTATATTATTTTTCCAGTAATTATTCTTTCTGTTTGCTTCTTTTGTTTAACCACTGTCATGGGTGCATGTGTCTTCTCTTTTGGATTCTTTGCTTTTGGTGCCAGGCCGGTCTCTGTGTAGCATTCCGTGAAGTATTTTTTTTTTTTTTGCAACACAGTTATTCTTTTTTTCCCATAATTTTATTTATTTATTTATTTTT